GAAAAAAAAAAGGTATATACACATCCACGTCAGGGAAAGTGGTAAGAGAAAGATTTTATAGATTTCAACTGAAAGTAACACTAGCTACTCGGTCAATGAATGCCGAATGTTTCCTTATAAGGAAACAGTTAATATTCTCATCATATGACATGTCTTATTGGTTTGATGTATATATTTTATTTTCATATTCTAATACTATCCTCCGAAAATTTGTTTTGATATTGAAATATACATGTCTGGGGCAACATCCAATCTGTCGGTATATTTAGTTTTTGTACTATGTTTAAAAAAAAAAAAAAAATACTGACTCCAACTTTATTTTGAAAATATGAAGGACTTGACTTTTCTTTTAAAATAATTCTTTGAAAATATTTTCTTAACAAGACCTTACCTCTAATATATTTTCTGCATTGACCATGTATTAGAGCACTTTGTGATAATCAAGTTCATTACACAAGCAATATGATCAGCAACAGAGCCTGATACGTGTGGCCATGCTAGTTTTCTTGTTTTTTTTTTTTGCTTTTTTTTTTAATTTTTTTGGTCTTTTTTAACCATTTTTTTTTTCTTCCCCCGTTTTTTTTCTTTTCGTTTTTTTTTCTTCGTATTTTTTTTCTTCATATTTTTTTCTTCGTTTTTTTTTTTTTTTTTTTTTTTTTCGATATGCTAAGCATATCATGGACCGAGCTTGTGAGCAACGATGATCTCTTAGAGAGTATGCAAACAAGGAGAATGGCCTGGAGAATTTGATACTTGCAGGTCGAATAGAAGGAAAGAGAGACAAGGGAAATTAGAGAGGTTCATAAAAATTTAAAATTTCCTGTACAAGAACTTTATGCGTGTGCGCATGCGTACAGAGTGAATTGTGCAATCAATGATTAAATAAAGTCTTAAAAATTCTTTTAATATCAACGCTTTATTCGTAAAGACATTTTTTCTGAAGGCCCAGTGGTCTTTGAATGTCCTTCTACTGTCGAATGGCAGGTGGAACTTCTACGAAACTCTCATTAGTAGCTAGTTCACTGAACCACCGGTCATGTGACTGACAGAATTTGATGAAAAAAAAGTTTTACGGGTAATGTCAAAGGCACAAAGATAAGTGATTTATTCATTTGATCGAAAATTTTGTAGTTCTATGCTTAAAAAGAAATTACAGTGACGTGATCTGTTAGTTTTAGATATTTCGTGATTATCATATATTTTTAAAAGGTTCTTAAACTGCAGTGAAATGTCCTATAAATTCTGTAGTTTTCACTTTTTTGAAAAAATATCTGTCTGGATATTACTTCAAGACATTTTGACTAATTTTATTACATTTTCGCATGAACCAACAGCAAACATTCGTCCACCATGAATAGAATCAATGCAGTGAACAGGCTTCTCCATTTGGACTTTTCCGACAACCTGCGAAGAGAAAAAAAAATATATAATATATATATATATATATATATATATATATATCATAGCTCGGGTCTCTCAGTAAAACTTGTTTTAATACTTATTAACTATTCTAAATATATTTCTAGTCTCTGTGGTGCTTCTCACCTGATTTTTATAGGCACAACCTACAGATTAAATGTCGAAATTTCAAATCAAAATTTTCCGTTGCAATCATTAAACTCTACTTTTAAAAGTAAAAATGTTATAGGGATTTCCATTCATTCTCCGTGAATTAACTTTTTTTTCACTAAAAGTAACACAAGCCAAGTCGTTTTCTAAGCATAGCTTAGATGTTGCACGAGTCCAAACATATGGTGGGGGGCAGTGATGATTGAACTCACCGTTCAGTCATCAATGATGTAGTGAGACAAGCTTGCTAATCATTGCACCACGTAAAAGGGCCCATTTATTTTCTAAGTGTAGCACATCCTGTGTATGACGATAAACTACACCCGTCAGCAAGGCCTCTGATCGAGAGGTTTTGAGGAGCGCGCAACCGCCTCTTAATTACTACTCTTCTTAGGTTCATCTTAACCCAGGGTGGTAGCACCAGTTAGGGTCACAGCTATGGGCAAATAGTGAACCCTCACACAGGGGTTAAGCATTATGAAGATATAAAGACGCATTTTTATATTAAAATTACCAGCAATGCATTTTCATAGTAAAAAAATAGCAGCAATAAACATTTTCATAGAAAAAAAAGATTAGCAGTAATACATTTAAAAAAATTACCAAAGCTCCCAAGAAAATTAAATTTCGGCAGTAAATGACTCATAAGGAGTTGATATGCCGTTAAACAAAGCAAAGAATAAAAATCTAAACGTAGCAAAGAGCATAAGACCGAAAATGTGGCGCACCCATTGAGAATCGAACTCCAGTGGCAGATGATCTAGTGAGACAAGCCTGGTAACCATTATACTACGTCGAAGTTCCTCTAAATAGGCCATGAGTGGGTTATTACAAATTGTTCAGAGTTGAGAGAGGCGAGACAAAATTCAAATTTAAAGCTGTTATTTGTTTAATCAGACGTAATTGACTTCCAATATGTCTGCATATTTGTATATGTAATCATTGGGAGTAAAAGTACACTTCTTAGGAGTAAAAGAAATCTTATGAGTGAAAGGAAACTTCTTGGGAGTAAAAGTACTCTTCTTAGGAGTAAAAGAATTCTTGGAAGTAAAAGGAATGTTTTTAGGAGTAAAAGTACTCTTCTTAGGAGCAAAATAAATCTTAAGAGTAAAAGGAATCTTCTTAGGAGTAACAGAAATCATATTGTAAGTAAAAGGAATCTTGGGAATAATAGGATTCTTCTCAGGAGTAAAAGAAATCTTTTTCTAAGTAAATGGAATCTTCTTATGAGTAAAAGAAATCTTTTTGTAAGTAAAAGGAATCTTCTTGGGAGTAAAAGGAATCGTTTTAGGAGTAAAAGTACTCTTCTTGGGAGTAAAAGTACTCTTCTTAGGAGTAAAAGAAATCCAAGGAGTAAATGAAATCTTGGGAGTAAAAGACATCATATTTGAAAGTAAAAGTTGTCTTGGGAGTAATATGGCTCTTCTTAGGAGTAAAAGAAATCCTCTTGTGAGTAAAAGAAATCTTCTTGGGAATAAAAGGATTCTTTTTAGGAGTAAACGTACTCTTCTTTGGAGTAAAAGAACACTTCATGGGTGTAAAAGTATTCTTCTTAAGAATAAAAGGACTTTTAGACAAAATAGTAACAGAAAGAAAAGTTAAAATGCTGAATGTCTGAATGAAGTTTTTCAGGGACGGTTTTCGCAAGTTTCGATTGTACACCAATTCTTGAAATATTCTCGCTGTCTATCCACTTAAGAACATAACGTGAAGTCAATGAAGACACCCCTTTACAAAACTGCCTCAAGTCTTTTAACGGATACGATCTGAACTGATTTTATTGTTAAAATATGCTTGGCATACGAGTACAACCATTTCTTACTTAATATCTTATCAGTGTAACTTACCCCATACTTATGACTCCCTATTAAAGAATTAAAAGCATCCAACCAGACGATATTGTACTCACTGTGATTCTATGAACACCTACATAGAAGGGAGAAGCGGTGGTTTTTATTCCGATCTCAAGTGTTTCTGTTTTATGGACCAGCAGATAATTCCTTTTCAAGTTCGGTCTTCTAAGTGGCATGGACTTTGCTTGAAGGGGGAATATTAAGTAAAGGGATTTTTGCAGATCAAGTGGTCAAGTGGTAAGAAAGCCGTAAATAGGTTATATCCAGGTATTGGTCTATATAAAGTCATTCTTAGGATTGGGGAGTATGCTTGTCTGCCCTTGGCGGGAGACAGTTGTGACTGTTGCAGTGCCAAAGCCTCTATTTTTGTATTACCAGCCACGATATTGGGATAATTAGATAGGCAAGGAGCTGTAGACCAGTTGCCATCCAAAGCTATAGAACTCAGTCTGTCCTGCTATTTACCCATAGCTGGGGAGAAGAAGAGGATTCATACCTTTCCCAAGGGTATTAGCACGTAAGTGAATAAATGGATTCAAACGAACTCGGCTCCCCGATTTCTCAATCCCAGCCGCTATTCATTACTCCACCATGTATACGAGGTCTGATTCGAAAGTATCGGAACAGTTAGAATGGGGATTTTCCAAGCGTAGCTTAGATGCGGCACAAGGCCGGAAGTAGAGGAAACCCAGTGAGGATCGAACTCACTACTCAGTGGTAATTGTACTAGCTAGACAAGCTTGCTAATCATTACACCGCCTCGAGGTGGCCGCAGGACAGTTACTATAGTAAAAGAGATAAAGTATGCAGAGTGAAGCCGCTTGGCACAGAGAGACCTTCAATTTTGTAGCCCATACAGATTAAGTTATAACGTTCTCGCTTACTTCCATTCTTTATAGAAGTGTTTCAAAAGAGAGTGTGTAGAGTGTGGTCGTCTCACAGAGGTTCCATCAATGACCATGGGTTGCGCAGCAGTTTTTTTTGAAACCATAAACAATATTCCCCAGGTTCGACAACCACCATATTTCCCAGATCTCGTCCCTTGCGACCTTTTCGTCTTTACAAAAATCAAATCCCACTTGAAAGAAACAAGATTTTAAGACGTCAAGGAAATCCAAGAGAACGTGACTCGGCAGCTAAAAAGGAGTTCCAGGAACGCTTCCATCAATGGGAACAACGCTGAATAAAGTATGCGGCTTCAGAAGGGGACTACTTCGAAGGAAATTAGATGCCTAATTGATATGTATTGTAGTTTTTTTTTATATCACCGGTCTCGATACTTTTTGATCAGACAGCGCACCAATTCATACCGTTTCGGAACTCGTTCACTGTCAGAGTTCCACAATTCCGCATTCTCTAACATTAGCCACCAACTCGTTTAAAGATTAGGTTATTAAGTGAGGAGTGGCCTTGTTACATATTTTAGAAGTATAAATTTAGCTAATATTTTCCCAGTAGCAAAGATGTTATTCGAGGAGTTGGAAATGCTTAATATTTATCATCTCGTGTAAAAGACATGATGAATTAATAATGCCTGCAATCGTTATTTTTTCTGTTTATGTGGCAGGTATCGTTAAATTATAGAATCGTACAAACCTTTCCAGTTGGGTAATGGATAGCTTGAACGTTGTTTGTGCCACTACCTCCAGCTAAGACGACATCATTGTCACAAAACTGGGCGCAGTACAAGTATTCCCCTTTTTCATTTGGAAAAGGAACGTTTTTTTCGACAATCCCTTCGCTGTAATTCCAAACCTGCAAACTGTTTTTGCTCACCCACGAACCAGTTAAGATTTTGCCTTGCTGTAAGTTAGAATGGCAACAAAAGCAATAATAATAATAATAATAATAATAATAATAATAATAATTTATCGTTGAATGAATGTAATAATAATAAATATATCAGAAGAAATGCTGCTATTACTCCTACTACTATTATTAATTATTATTATTATTATTGCGAAATTAATTTATAATAATAACACGGAGTGTTATAATAATAATAATAAATAAATAAATAATGTAAATAGTAATAATAATAATTATTATTATTATTAATGCGCAATTAAAGGAATAATAACACGTAACAAAAGTATAATAATACGTATTGTAAATAATAATAATTATTATTATTATTATAAAATGAAAGGAATAATAACACGTAACGAATAATAATAATAATGTAAAAATAATAATAATAATTATTATTATTATTATTAGTAGTAGTAGTATTATTCTGATTATTATTATGATTATAATTATTATTATTGCAAAATGAAAGGAATAATAACACGTAACGAATGATAATAATAATGTAAATAATAATAATTATTATTATTAGTAGTAGTAGTATTATGATTAATATTATGATTATTATTATTGCAAAATGAAAGGAATAATAACACGCAACGAATAATAATAACAATCTAAATAATAATAATAATAATTATTATTATTATTATTATTAGTAGTAGTAGTAGTAGTATTCTGATTATTATTATGATTATTATTATTATTATTGCAAAAAATGAAAGGAATAATAACACGTAACGAATAATAATAATAATGTAAATAATAATAATTATTATTATTAGTATTATTATGATTATTATTATGATTATTATTATTATTGCAAAATGAAAGGAATAATAACACGTAGCGATTAATAATAACAATGTAAATAATAATAATAATAATAATAATAATAATTATTATTAGTAGTAGTAGTATTATTATTCTGATTATTATTATTAGTATTATTATTATTATTGCGAAATGAAAGGAATAATAACACGTAACGAATAATAATAATAATGTAAATAATAATAATTATTATTAGTAGTAGTATTATTATGATTATTATTATTATTATTGCAAAATGAAAGGAATAATAACACGTAACGAATAATAATAATAATAATTATTATTATTATTATCATTATTGCGCAATGAAAGGAATAATAACAGGGATCAATTAATATTAGTAAGTAATGTAAATAATAATAATTATTGTTATTGCGAAATGAAAGGAATAATATGAACAATAATAACCACACGTAACATAAAAACATGATTATTAATAATAATAATAAGAAGAAGAAGAAGAAGAAGAAGAAAAAGAAGAAGACGTAATGTAAAGAATAACAATAATACATAACGAAAAGAATATTAATGGCAATACGTGATCTATTACAGATATTGCATTTTGATTGTATCAATAAAATCAACCAGAGTACTGAGGAGAGTGCTGGTGTAATTAGCAGACTTGATTCTACCTGATCTCCAATAAAACAACCAGGCACGAAAAGACAACAAACACATGTATAAATCACCGATACGAAGATGATGCTTTCATTTGATCTCCAGCGAAAACCATCAGCTACTAATGGGAAAGTTATTGACCATATATATATATTCTTCTTTATGTGCCGTGTCTCCTCAGGACATACGCGATCATGTCTCACCACAACTTCCTACTCCTTGTAGCTCTTAATAAATTTTGTCTTTCTCCTAAACTCTCTTCCACCATCCATTTATTCAAGCTCACTAAGTCTGTTATGCGTTATTTCCCTCTGAACTCTTTGCCTTCAAACTTTCCTGTGAGTATGTGATTTTCCAAGCCCTCTTTCCTCATTATGTGCCCTAGAAATGTCAACTTCCTCTTCCTGATGTTAAGAATAAGTGTTTTTATTTTGCTTCCATTATCTCAAAAACTTCGTCGTTGCTCACGTATCCTCAGCATCCTTCTGTAGAACCAGATTTCTGTTGACTCAAGTCTCTTTATTTTTGAGGAGATTGTCCAGCATTCACTGCCATACAGGAGGACAGATATCACATAACGGTTCAATGCTCTTTTCTTTGTTTCTAACGAAGTTTTTTTTCTGTTTGTTGATACTTTGCTTACCTTTTGGAAAGCATCTTTCGCTCTCCCAATGCGTCTTCGGATTTCAGGGTCGCATTTTCCGTCTTCTCTTAAAACACTTCGCAGATATTTTAATTTTTGTACTTGTTTGAGATTGATACCTCTAATTTGTAATTTGTTATTACTTTTGCAAACATCCATGCATTCTGTCCTTTTGCTATTGATGTTTAGTCCTTTCGTCTCGCTTTTCTCTTCCTATAACTATAATAATTTTTAATCAATCAATCAATCAAAAAATCCAGCTGGGCTTCTCCATGTTCATATACGTCTTGGGTGTTCGTAAAACTATCAACACTGATAAGACATCTAGTTCTCTCAGAATTGCCTCGCTGTATAGGTTGAATAAGTCTGGTGAGAAGACACACCTCTTTCTGTTTTTGTATATCTGTTGAACTCATTTTCTATCCATATGGAGGCAGTTTGCTACCAGTATAGGTTCTCGATTATTCTAATATCCTTCACAAATATGTCAAGGTTACGGAACTGTTCCAGTAGATCATTGTGGGGTATGTTATTACGCATGTCTGCTTTATCTGTGTTACTTCTTTCTATTTCTGCCCATTTTTCGTTGAGTCATTTCTTTTTAGCCTGCCTGCATTTGATCCTTATTTATTTGTGTAGTGTTCTATATGTTGTTCTGTGTTTTGGCATTGCTGTTGTCTCCTTTCCATTATGTCAGACATTTCATGTTATCCATTCATTTTTTGTTCGTCTTTTTTTCCTTTGGGATGATCTCGATTGCTGATATTACAAAATCTTCTCTTAATATCTCCCACTATTCAATTTTGTTCCTCTTATCTACTTTTCATGTTGCCCATATATTTCTCCTTTAAGTTCGTGTTGTTCAAATGTCCGTCATATTGTAATTTGGGTGCTGCCTTAGGCCTCTTAAATTTCCGTAGTTTTACTCTAAGTACACACAACACAGGATGTGGATCGCTTCCGCAGTCGGCACTTGGATATATTTTGCAGTGTAAAACTGCGTTACTGAATCTCTTGTTGATAGTTACGTCGATTTGGATTTTTTTTCTCCTAGCTGGGATTCGAAAAACAAGAAAGCAGATTTAGTAAACTATTTCTTTTTTTTAAATTTTCCTGTAAAGCCCAATTTCTTTCATGAAATTTATAATGTTACCTGGACTGATATTTTCAAATATATCCTTTAAGTTATCCGATTTGTAATGTACTAGTTTACTAAATTGTAATGTACTAGTTTACTTTCTTGTTTTCGTAACCTAATTTAGAAAAAAAATATTTCCAACAATACATTTTTGGTTACCAGCAATACTTCTATAAAGGAAAAAATTATTAACAGCTATTCATTGTCGAGGAAAAATTATTACCAGCAATGCATTTTTGAAGGTAAGTTATTACCAGCAGTACGTTTTTGAAGAAAGAGTTATTGCCAACAATATAGTTTTGAAGGAAAAATTGTTATCGGAGATAATAATATAATTTCTCCTTCAATTTTGAAGGAAATATCGTATTATCAGTAATATAGTTTCGCAAAGGAATATTACCAGCAATATGTCTTTAGAAAAATGTTACCAGTAATACATTCTTGGAAACGCGTCAGCAGCAATATACTTTTGGAAAATATTAATTGCAATTGAATCTAAAAGGAAGGATATTGCTGGAAATAGTTTTTTGAAGAAAAATATTACCAGCAATAAAAAATTTGTTGGCATTAAATAACCAATTGAGGTTGATATACCGTAAATCTTAGTCAATCAATCAATCAATCAAAATATCCAGCTGGGCTTCTCCATGTCCATATACGTCTTGGGTGTTCGTAAAACTATATGTCGACTACTACCTGGTCATCCGCCATACACCATTGGACCCGTTTTTTTTTTGTTTTTTTTTGCTTACGGATTCTTGACCCGAATTCGCCAACTATTTCACAATCCCTCGCGTTGCTTATTTTGGCATTCAGTGCTTCCATAACAATTACAATTGTTTATATTAAAGAGATCACTGTTACTTGTCTTAGAACGATGAATATTATATTTTTTTTTACCTTAAGATCGAGAGCATCTCCACAAATGTGAGGACCAGGAATTGAACGTCGTACCCCTTGTTTGGACCTCTTGTCGAAAATCTGAAAAAATCCAGATGAATAGAGAGAGCTAGACAGAGAGAGCGATTCAGATATATATATTTTTTTTTCACTTTTAAAGATCTTACATCATAATTTTATATGACCGATATCTTTTACAATTACAAAACTGTGGAAAGGTTTAGTTTGAATGATATGTATCTAAATATTTGTGATGGCTTTTTAAAAAAACGGGCATTTTCCTCGTGGTGAGTTGCAAAATTATTTACACCTCATGAAAAATATACTAAATGAAATCAGTGGGTACCTTTCTAGACTGATTTGATACATTTTCACAATTTTTATTTGTTTTCTTGAATGCACAGGCCAGTAGACGTACTACACACAGTATAAAAAAGATGAAAAAAGTAAACAAAAAAAGTGGGTGTTCTACTCAAATACGGATACCAGCTAATGTTGGAAGTAAAAAGAATATTGGATTAAAAATAAAATTGATTAATTATATATATATATATATATATATATATATATATATATATATATATAATGGACTCTCCCGTCGGTTTCGACATATGAGGATCTGTCAGCTTATTGATTCAGTTATGAAAGTTTATGCGATAATCTTAAGTGGCATCTAAGACCCGCTAGTGACTTACAAAAGAGGCCACATATGGAGCAAGTGTGAGGATTGTGAGATGAGATCACTGTTAGATTGGCTAACCTTTTAGATCTTGCTCTCGCTTCTTGAAGATGATTCAGACAAGCAGAAAAAATTGCTGAGTCCACTAAAACACGTTGATCTCCATTCAACCCGCTCCAAAG